TGTGATAATAGGAAGCATTTATTAAATGTTTTGCAATTATCATAATTCCATCATCAGTAATCTAGAGCTAACAAAACAAACAAACAATATTTGTAATTACAACAGAAATATATACATAAGAAGTAAACAAAAGTAAAGTAAAATGACTTTGCAAAACATCTTTTATTAGACTTTTCAAAACTTTTCCCACAACTGATGTAAGACTAATTGGCCTATAATTACTGGGACAATGTTTATTACCTCTTGAAAAAAGAGGAGTGACATCAGCTAATTTCCAATCTTTTGGTACCTGCCCATTATTCAAGGATTTACAAAAAAAATAGAAACAAGTGGCTCACATATCCAATCTTTAACCTCCTTCAAAACCCTTGGAGAAATAGTATCTGGCCCTTATCATTTTTTAAACTTCCCAATTTTTTCTTAACCATATCAGTATTAATGCAGTCATCTTGTTTGATCTTACTGATGAGAAATACTGCTTAAATCTTTATTGGTAAAAACTGAAGAAAAAGCAGAATTTAATAACCCAGCCATCTCATAATCATCAGATATAAGCCTTATTTTATCATCCCTCAAGGGTCCTACCCCCATCCTAACATTTTGTTTACCCTTAATATACTGAAATAAATCCTTACTGTTAATTTTTACACTTTCAGCCAACCTTTTTTCATACATCCTTTTTGATATCCTAATTTTATGTTTGATCAACTTTCTTGATCTTCTAAATCTTAAATTTGTGATGCTTTTCTTTAATTTTATCTCTTATATCCTTTGTAAGAAAATGTGGTTTTTTACTTGTAGCCACCCTTTTCTTTCTATAAAGAATATGTTTATCTTGAATGTTTAAGAGTTTATCCTTAAAAATTTTCACATTTGATCAGTCTCTCCAAATAACTCAGCTGCCCAATTCACATCAGATAATTCTTGTCTCATCCCTTCATAATTTGCTTTTCCTTAAATTTGTAACCAAAATGTTATTTCTGATCTCCATGTGCAGTAAAACATCAAACCTAATACTTGCACCCAGATGTTCCTCAATTTCCACACTCTCAACAATTTCTATATTAGAAGTTAACAATAAATGTAAAATAGCATTGATTCTAGTAGGTTCCTTGACCAACTGGCAAAGAAAACTATTGAATAGTTTCTCCCTTACGGTTTGATTCTAGTGTTTCCCAATCTATATGATTAAAATTAAAATCACCCATAATAATGACCTCATTAATAGTTGAAATCTTAATCTCACTGTAAAGTTTCTCCCTAACCTCATCAGTATCATTTGGTGTAACAAATTCCCAATAAAAGCCTTTTCCCTTTATAGCCACAAATAGAAACCCAAATGGATTAAATCTCCTTGTTATTATCTTTGATATCCTCAACCTCAACAGGATGTAACTGACATTTTACATATAAAGTCACTCTTCCCCTTTTCTTTAGTACCCTATCCCTATGAAATAACCAATAACCCTGTATTTCAAAGAAATTTCTGTTATCTAAATCATCAACATCTAACCATGTTTCAGTTATTCCCATTATATCAAAATCTTCCATTCCTAATAGTGCCCTAAGGTCATTATTTTATTTCTTATACTTCTAGCATTACAATAGTAATAATTAAGCATATCCTTAGAACTACTTCTATACTTATTTCCTATGCTGAACTTTTCTCTACATTATTTTTTTTGCATTTAGTTTATTGTGGCCCTCACCACCATCTAGTTCTAGTTTAAATCTTCCTTTACAGCAGAGTTAATAGCCCTTGCAAACAAGCCAGATCCTACACTATTTAAATGTAAACCATCCATAAAAAAAGTTCTCTTCTCCCATTGAGCAGATCCCACAAGTCCAACCAACCTATCTACTCATCCTTACATATTAACCTGAGCCTAGCATTTAGCCCTAGTGACCTACGCATAATTTCATCCCCACAATTGATCCTTGGCAATATCCATGATACAATTAAGCTATGGCCTTTTTCTTTAATTGCCTTTATCAACCCCTTGTACTTTATTAATTAGCTCCTCTGACCTACCTTTCCCTACATCATTAGCTCCTACGTGCACAACAAAAACTGCATCCCTGCTAGCCTCCTTTATTATATCTTGCTCTGTCATTTATATCTTCCACCTGTGTCCCTGGGTAGCATAATCAAATTCTTTTCTCCCTGTTTATTCCATTGACTATCCTACCCATATGCCTTGTCAAAGAATCACCTATAACTATGACCTCCTTATCATTCACATCCTTCTCTGGCCCTTTTGTTTTCCTTCCCCACAATAGTTACTCATCTGCGGAAGCCAAGGGCAGAAATCTGTTGTTCAACAAAATAGGCTCATTACAATAAAATTCACCAATTTTAACCCTAATAGTACTATTTCTAATTTCTTGAAAGTCATTGTTAGCTGATGTATCCTTTGCATGTAAAAGCTTAAGCTCCTCTTGAAATCCTGCCACCATTTCCCACAGTTTACCCTTCTATTTATCTGTTGCCTTTATTTAAATAAGATAGCCTCCAACATCTCCTCCAACCTACAAACAATTTGCACATATTCACTACTAGCAGTAGCTTCCTTATAAGTACATACCAGTCCAGAGTTCCCAAATAAAACCCACTCTAGAGTGCTGTCACAGAAGTTTGGGATTTTTTATCACTATGAAAAATGGGTATTCCCTTTCAAACTACACAAATTTACTGGTTTCAAGTTTCAGTAAAATAACAAAATGTTAAGACATGATTTTTTTGTGTACCTAAAAATTAATCTAGCACAAAAGAATTGTTTATAAAAGTAACACGAAAGAGTTAACATATCACACACACGCAAAAATCAATTTCAATGGTAACATCCACACAATATTTAATTTATTACCTAAACAATAACTATAAAACTTCTTCTGTTCTAAAATATGATTTCAATGTTATAAAAAAATAGTCTTTTCTTATACAGTACATGTTTACAAAACTTACAAAATGTTTTAAAATATTACTGAAAGGAGAAAGATAATGCATAAAATATGCATTTAATGTTTTTCAAAGAAAAACACCTAACTAAATCTTATACATATTATACTTAATGCCACAGTTAAGTTCTCCTACAGGGAACACCTTCTTCTAATGGGTATTGACCATCAAAAGATAACCTACCCAAGATAATCAAAGTCGATAGTTGAGTGTGATGCTTGTACTAAAGCCCAGGTGCCCCAGAATAAGTGTGCTCCCTACAAAAAAGTAAAATGTACAACTTATAAGAATTCAAAGTAGCATTATTGATTTCAATCTTACTCCATATTAAACACCAGCGATATCCTGTGATCTTGGAAAGTGGACAATTGTAAGACATTTCACAAAATTTTTCTAAATTTGGACTTGGTACCAAAATTCAGTAAAAACATCAGAAAAATTGGTTATTTTCAAAAGAAAAAACAATAACACTTGAAGTCTGTGTTATGAAAAAAACTTAATTATTACTGCCAATTATCATCTACTTTATCAGTTTATCCAAAACAAATTATATAATAGTACCATAATATCGTTATTAACAAGTAATCTCTGACTCAGTGGTAGAAAATATGACTATCTTTGTAGGTGCTTGCAAGCATACCTAATTGAAAAATTTTATTATGTTACTATTAGTATTTATTTTACCAAATTTAAAATAAACATTTCCTATTTTTATATTTTAGTTACTTTTTATAATAGTAAATAAAGAATACACATGAAAGACAAGAAAAAGTACTCATGTGAATCTTTTTTTTTTGGCTGACCACTGCTGACGACACTTAACCCTACTTTTTATACTAAAGTAAGTACTGCACAAAATAATTTTTTATTTAATTAGATAATGCACCAAAGAACACAGTATTAAACATGCAAAAAGCAGACAATGTCCCATAACTATCACAAGAGCCATTAAAATTTCATCTAAGCTCGTTGATATGTTTTCTGTGGGAATCAAGCTTGAACTGGATATGAATAAATTTGGCATCAAAACATATTTAATACATCCAATTTTAATATAATGTAAGTTTGAAGTTCCTAATTTTATAAGGACACGTTTAAAAGATCCTCAATCTCTTCTATTATGAGAATTGTGACCTTTGCTCTCTAGGTCTTCTCTCTCTTCTCTAATCTATTCACCACTCTTCCAAGAAGTAAGGAATTTAACATAAATTACTCATTATAATTTGAATATTACTCATATTAAGCATAATTTTTATAGTCTTTAATATTATTTGTTTACAGAGCTATAAGCCAGAAAATAAGACCCATTTGCCATGTCCACCTATCACATCCTCTCATCAAAAAATTGCCAATAGTTCTCTCTGACATTTTATACTATAATATTATAACCAATACATAACCACAGTCTTAATCTATCAAATGACATTTACATTATGTTGTTTTCTGTACAGAGAATTGTCTATTTTTACCCTTGGCTTAAAACTTTTTCTCATGGTGTTCTCACGAAAAAGCTTACCTGAATTTTTAAAGGCTCTTATCACATGGTTAAAATGCCAGAAAATTTTTGATAGTTATGGGATATTTGCTTTGTGTGTTATTATTCTGCATTCTTAAGTGTATTATTTAATTAAATAAAAAACTAGCATAGTAGTAGTAGTACCAATAGTATAGAAAAAGTAGGCTTAAGTTTCATCGACAGTCTGCAGCAGAAAAACATAAGGACCCATGTAAATGCTATATTTCTTGTTTTCATATGTATTCTTTATTTATTATTATAAAAGTAACTAGAATGTAAAAAATTAGAAATGTATTATATTAGAAAAGGTTTGATTAGGTAAATTGATAAGAAAAAAATTCTTCATGAGTAATGCTCGCAAGCAGCTCATGTGTTATGTAATTCAATACAGTAATGTGAACTGCCCATTTGCCAAATAATTTACAACTTGTGTGATGAGATTATTAGATACAGTCCAAAGCGCAATAAAACAATAAAATTTAGTATAAACAGATGTATACTGTCATGAGCATTAAGCTATTTAAGATAAACAATTGTAGTCTTATGTTACAATTTGCAGTTATTCTAAAAAAAGAAAAAAGATAATTTAGTTACAATTTTCCTATACTGAAAATGTATTTCTGATAGGTACCTACCTCCTGTCACATAAATAGCTATTCTCATTCAGTGCTGCTCTCTATATGTAAAAATATATTTTACACATGCCACAAGCCTTGAATCTCCCACATCTGGAATTGACTGATTTCATCACATCAATAACTTTTCTCATTCAGTGCTGCTCTCTATATGCAAGAATATTTTTTGTGCAAGCCACAAGCCTTGAATCTCCCACATTTGGAATTGACTGATTCTAATGCATTTTGCATGAAAATCATCATGTGACATCTGTCCACCAATAAGCGTGCGACATACTCCCTTGACGCACGACTCCCTCTATTCAGTTCTACCGAACTATCACTTCCAGTTTTGGCAGAAAATGAAAACACCAGTTTTTAGGGGGGTGGGTGGAATGGGGGTATGTGTGAGAGGAGGCAAGTACCTATCAGAAATACATTTTCAGTACAGGAAAATTATAACTTCGGATACAGTATGTTACCTTCATTCACATAAATAGCTAGAATCGCATACTGAACAGGTGGAGGGACTGGTGTGAGGGAAAGAAAGAAGCATTCTTTGAAAGTGTCCGAAGGATAGTCCCAAAGAGATCTTCGGAGTCAAAGATTATACATGGGAGACTGCATCACTTACGAACGGATTGTACATAGCAAGTCAACTACATCCAAAACCCATGCTACCAGGAATTGACCTCCACTTGGGGGTAGGATGAAGATCATACCATTGGTAAGTCAACTACATTCCAAAACTCAGCCATCTGGTGAGGGTAGGAAAGAGGATCATAACATCTTCACCTCAAATTCACAAGACTGGAGGGAATCTCATACCCCCTGATCCCTGAACAGGCACATGTTGTTATTTTATAACTATGTGAAAAATTGAACGATCGATCCAGGAATCGACATTTGGAATAAAAAAAATGTCTGTGTAAGGTAAACCATCTCAATCAAATACATAATGACAGGAACTGTCCCAAACGGTGAAACATCCTTGGAATAATAATCATCAAGGAATAGTGGAAGGGGAAGAACCATAGTAATGTGCAAGTACTTCCACCATGACCCACTACCTGGATGGAGTAACAACAGTAGAAATGAGTGAGGGAATAGAGACATATGTAATACATGTGTGAGGACTTATGTTGATTGGTTCAACTCTAAAGTCAAAACCCAGCCACTGGGAACCAACATCCACATGGGGGTAGGTCACTCCTAGGGAGAAAATGTAATGAGAATGGAAATGCAATGAGGACAAAAAACCTGGAATATGACCCTTCAGGAGACACATGTGAATTGTGTGGGTTCTAAAAGGAAGATCCACTGTCTACCACAAAAGGAACAAGAAAGAACATCTCCTTGGCAAGTGATAAAAGCCACCATCGAATAGCCTAAATGAAACATGATTAGTCAAATCCAGACAAAATGAAAAGGTTGAATGAAAGCACAATGGACTAGATGAAGTGCCAGGGTGTGAAGGGAATAAGATCATTTGCCTGGAGACCATAGTTCTCAAGCCTCCTACAGGTTGAACCACATCCCCAGCCAATAGAGATGAGCATCAGGGAAGAGAAACATTCCAGAAGAGGGTAAGGAAGTGGGAAATCTGAAATTGTAGGGGATATGAAATTTATCAACTCATATAGAAGAGGGAAGGAAAAAAATTAAGAGGAAAATCAATGGATGGTCCTGATAGAGGGGTGTATAAAAATAACCACCTCAAAGAGATGAGAATGTGAGGTATGGAACAGAAAAAATACATCCAATTGGAAAATCCAACAACTCTAGTTGACTGTGGAAGAAGTATATATGTTGGCTAAACATCCAATGAATAGTGTAGGTATAATCACCCCCAAAAAGTGGAAGATGGGTAAAATGCAGACCACCCCACAAAGGACATATGGTACCAGACACGTCCAAAGGGCAAGGCATGAAACTGGGACCGAATCATGTGGTGAAATAACCTAAAATAGCATCCCAAAAAATGGAAAATAAGAATGTGTAATATGGGTGTACCCCAACATAGAGAAATAGCAAACCCAAATACAATTAAAGACTACAAATGAAAACGGAGAAGACCCAAGAAGTGGTTGAGGTGGAACCAATCAATCCAGAGCCCCAAACAGCATCGAGCATACAAGATGAATGGAGAAAACCCATAGGAAGGACAGGTAAAGGACAGAAATTTGCTGGACATGTAAAAGAATAAAGATGACAATATCTCGGAATGAAACCAAAAACAATTGAATATAGCATGGCAGATACCCCATGTGATGCTAAATGTACAGGAGGAGCCTCAAAAATAGGGACCGGTGGAGAAACAAATATGACCGTAAGTCATTATCAGCAGTGGATGGGAAACAAAGAACATTGTCCCAACCAAAAAGTTACCAAAAGGAAAGAAGCCATGTGTGGAGTGAAAGAACGGCAGATGGCAAACCCTCCAACATGGAGGGAAGGAGGAGGAAGTATCCCACGAAAATCCCTAAATATACATGGAACACCTAAGAAAGGAAATGGAAGGTAAACATTACACATAGGAGAGTAGATAGGGTAAAATGAATCTGAAAAACTAGGTAGGGGACAAAATGGAAAGGAGTAATGGAGATCCTAAGGACATAAAACCAAGAAGAAAATCTACCTGATGGTAAGATTAGGCAAGGCTTGCAAGTATTCAATCTCAAATGAGACAAAAAGATCATAAAGAATCAATGTCAGGAGAAAGGAATATATTGTGAAATACATCAAAGAAGAAAAAAAACGAGATAGGCTGAGCAGATTCTGCAGTAGAGGCCTGGAATGCAATCCATGATAAGGTGGAGGAAAAATGAATATCTGGTTGTCTGAAATCGGTTCACCCATTATAGGAGGAAGGCAAGTAAATACTGGGAGCAGGTTTTATGTTTAGCTACACACCGCACCGACAAAAAAAGTGGCCCATGTGATTTCTTGTAGTAGATGTGCATACTCTACAAATTTTGTAAAATTCTAATCATCAATATTTTTTCATTTTGGCCACAAACTTTGATTTCACATATACCAATGGCAATTCTTTTCTTTATTTGGCCACACTTTTTTTTTACAGCTATGATTGGTTTGATTAGATACTTTTGAAACTGAAAATCACTAACATCGTTTCTTTAATGTACATATAAAAACATCAGCAGAGTATTTTTAAAAACACACATTCATGGTTAATATACATGCATGTAGATGTACAGTTTGAAAACTTGTCTTAATTCGTATTTCATAACTTACTTTTTTGTAGCAAAAATTACCATTTCCTACATATTAGTATTATACACTGATTTAATCAATCTTCAATTTTTCAACAGCTAGATTTCTTCTAAAAATGTAAATATCCATAAAAAAAAAAAAGAGGAAAAAAATTTACCAAGGCAAACTTGTTAACTTGAACATATAAAGTTTCCACATCTTTGGGTGACACTTTCCTGCTACTATGTCCAATTAAACAGAACCACTCTTCTAAGTAAATCCTGAGCCATTCCTTTTGAAATTTTTGACTTGGGTATAATTCTGGTTGGAATGATTCTAGACCTTACAAAATTGATAAAATCAAGAGAAAGTGAGTGAAAAAATCACAAAGATGATACACAAATCATTTCATTAGAGATGATCCTAATAATATATATGTTTAAATTTATGCAGATTTACATAAACAATTATTACGTTATTGATTGCTATATAGCTCAGCTTTATTGTTTAATTATTGTATTCTGTTTTAAACACACAAATTCTTCAATAAATGAAGAACAAACGACTTAAATAGAAATAAATTGTACTCCTATTAACAGTCTACTTAAATACACTATCACAAGTCTGATCAATATAATATTAAGTATAAACAATATGCAAAAGAAATTTTTTTATCACTAATATGTTTAAATACCTGAATCCTCTTAGAGAAAACATATGAAAGATTCTTCCCACAACCTGAACAAGTACATCAAAACTATATCACCAAGTGTATCTATGTTAGATTTTAAACTTGGATCAAATTTTGCCACATTTACTCATCACATTGAAGAGTCAGGCAAGTTGATTTATATTTTGTTTTCTTTTTTTTTATTCAATGCTTGCATCACGTGCACAAAATAGCAGTAATAACCCAACATGTATAATTGTAGAATACAAGTAACACAGTCATTAGCTATATGAAAATTCATAATTACATTTTATACATGGATTTTACGATGGACTTTATAAATTATCAGGACTGTGGAGGGAGGAAGAATCACGTTTTTGGTAGTGCAATGAACTTATTTGACTTTTGCCAAAGATATTCGTTACTAACTATAAATTGGCAAAATCAATATGGAGAGAATTTTAGTTTTCCTTTTGCTAAAAAGCTCATCATTAGTTTTATTTTTGCCATATTAGCTAAATATTAGTTTTGGCAAAATGGTGAATTGAATGGGCAAATCCTGCATATTTGTATTCTTCTGAGGTTTCTCACTATATACATACTTACTACTCCATAACAAAAATAAACTTCTAATTAATCAACATGAAAGTAATTCATAAATCAATTCTAAATTTCAAGTTTTATCTACTCACTAGTACTGGTGAAAGCATGGAAGGTTTAATCAAAACTGAAATTCATAAAATTTTATCATTTTTCTCATGTATGCTAAAATGATAAATACTTCAAAACCAAAACATAGTTAATTTGTTAAGTTAAAAAAAGCACTATCTGTAATCTATATATAGTAAACACAAACACTTATATTAACACTGTTTGAGGAAGCAGTTATTTTAGTGGAAGAACACTTTGAACTTTAAAAACATACTTTTCCCAAATTAATTAACAACACCCACTGATTAATAAAGGTATTTTTTACTTCAACATTGTAACAATTATTTGGTATTTTTAACAGATGAAGTTGTCAAATGTTTAATGTAATAAGACAGGGAGTTCTCAATCTTTCCAAATTCATGATCCACCTGAGTATTCAGGTAGTTTTCTGGGACCCATGAAAATAATGGAAGTGTAAAATTGTGGGATGGAAAAAATTATTTAATTTCACATACGAATTTAATGTAAAATTAAGTGAGTGCCATGATTCTCATTTTTGCCAATAATTTTTCATTTGATTCAAATAAAAATATAAATGGTTTTCTATTTCCAATATTTTTTAAATTTATATAAAATAACAACTTTAATGTAAAAATTTGGACACACTTACCACAAAACTCACAGAAATGATTTGCTATATCAAAAGCCTGAAAATTTTGATGTGCATATTCAAAGTCAATGAACGAAACTTGTCCTAAGATAAAATTAAAAAAAAAGAAAATCACAAAAAACACATTTATTATAACCTTCTAATGAAGTACACACTGCAAGATTAAGACATGTATAAAAGCATCTACTTAAGATTTTGATGTTTGAGAACATTTTCTTTTGTCTAACATGATGTTTTTCTAATTTGAAGCTTTTATTTTCACCCAAAGAAGTGGTAATGAACAACAAAACGTCTGATAATACGAGTAGTTTTCTAGTAATAAGGCCTCCTTCTTCCAAAAACTTTACTGGAATTTGACTTTTTTTTTTAACTTGTTAAGCAGAAGAATGGTTGCAACAAATCAACTTTTTAAATTTAATCTTATTAATATTTTTCTGTTGGTTTAGCTGCTTAGATGTATGTCCTTTACTCCCCACTAATAACCTAAAATACTTCAGATGTTTCCATAATATACGACATACTATCACAAATGCACATTTAATCATCTTTTATTATAATTAGTGGATTAACAGGTTATTTATCTATACATTAATTTATTCTCTTCACCAAAGCATATATTTCAGTGAAGAATAATGAAGTAGAGGCCTAATCTATTTTTTTTATCTTTTCTTCACTGTTTTGGTTAAAAAAAGAAATTAACAAATACACACTTACCTATTACAAAAAATAATAAATTTAGCAGTTACATTACTGTACTAAAGTTACAGAACCCAACCTCTATACAGAAGCAAATTAACTTGACAGAACATATGAACCTGAAGTATTTTTCCTCAAAGTCTCATCACATAAACTAATGAAATGACACCATTGATGACTGATATATCCTGTTTACTTTATCTGTGTTTAGCTTGTATGTGTACACCAATTTCTTGAATATTGGCCAAGTGATAGGCAAGTTATAAGGAGAATTTTCAAACAAACAAAAAATCTGTAGCTTATACCTTACTATGTCTGTATTTATAGCTCATCATATTTATAGTTCATATTTCCTTACTTTACCCATAATTTGCTTCTCTTTATAAAATATAACTGTATGCTAAAATAATACACAGTTCCCAACAAATGTTTATTAAACTTATCAAACATAATAAATCTCCAATTATTGTATAGATTTAAAAGCACAAAACAAAATACATTTTTCTGTTTTACAGAAATCTTAATTATTTAAATTGTTTGAGACTATGAAGCTGAAAAACAAGTATTACAGTTAGGTTATTGTTACCTTTTTCTTCATTATAGATTATATTTTTTAGAAGCAAGTCATTGTGACAGAACACGACAGGAGAGCCAAGCTGAACTAAGTGGTCTTCTAGATGGTTAATTTCATTGTATAGATCTTGTATAGTAGAAAGTTTACTTAAAAATCTACAAAAAAAATTATTATAAATTTAATACATATTTTATTTCATTAAAAATATATAAATTAAACAAATTACTGTCATATATTTTATTATAAATCATAAAATGTTGTGAAATAGAACAGTTTGTGTTTGACTTAAAAAGATACTGACATATAATGAAAAGACAAAAATCACATTTACTAGAATAGTTAATTTTTCCACTACTACTTTGCAATCTTCTAAAACAGGCATGTACAAATTCCTCCAGGATGCAGGCCAGATAGCAATTTCTAAATTTACTTGCAGGCCACATCATGTCATGCAAAACTGTAGCTAATAATCCATATTCTAATATTATACAAGTTATAAGTTCTTAAATTTATATTGTAATATTAAACAAAAATCCCCTAGTGTGAGAAATGTGTCATTTTTTTCTCTAGGCATCCCCTCTTCTCTAATTTATTCACCACCCCTCCAATAAGTACGAAATTTAATGCAAGTTACTCACTATAATATTGTCATCACTCAAACAAAGCATAATTTTTCCACTATCAAATGACATATTATATTATGTTGTTTTCTGTACAGAGGATTGTCAATTGCTCTTTTAGTACAAACTTTGTTTCTACTAGAAAGATACTAACTAACTTGGATGAATTTGTAATGGCTCTTGTTGTATATTTAGAAACCCAGAAAACTGTGATAGTTATGGAACATTGTCTGCTTTTTGCGTGTTATTATTCGATGTTCTTTGGTACATTATTTAATTAATAAAACTTATTTAGTGTAATACTACCATTAGTATATAAAAAAGTAGGGTTAAGTGTCATCGACAGTGGTCAGTAAAAAAAAATAGGCCCAGGTATGTACTTTATTTCTTGTTTTTCATGTGTATTCTTTATTCATTATTATAAAAGTAACTAAAATGTAAAAATAAGAAACTCTTTAGGTTGGTTAAGGTTAGAGAAGGTAAAATAACTAATAATAATATAATAAATTTGAGTTTGTAAGCAGTTCGCAGACAAGATTCAATAGTATCTTAAGAACTCATTGTGGGCTGGTTAAAACCATCTCACAGGCTGGATGTAGCCTTGGGACCATACATTTCACATGCCTGTTCTAAAAAATCAAACCTTTTTATAAAACATGCAATTACATTTTATGTTTCATACATAAAAGTTTAAAAAAGTTCAATTTTAAAAGAAAACATAAGAAAAAGTATTTCTTCTATTTGATTTCACTAGAAAATTACTACTATCTAATGTGAAAACTAGGGTGTACAGAGTAATTTAAACAATCAGGCTGCACATGTGACAAAAATGACCTATGTCATTAGGACCGGAAAATATTTTATAGGTATGATTTAAATATATAAAATGTATCGTAATTGAAATCAGCCACAACATACCTTTGGTTCTTTACTGAATCTTGGAATGTTGGTGAAGCAAGGTTTAAAAACTTGCGGATTCCAGGAAAAAGACTGGGTATTCTGTATTTTTCATTATTCAAGGGCTTTAGTGTGTGCATGTGGGCCATGGTCTTCGCAATCAGCCTGTTGCAATATAGCAGAGAAATTCAACTTACAAACCACACTGTACATCTCAAGTAATAGTGCAAGCCTGATATCATAACAGTAAAATTGTCATCAGTACTCAGATGGTTGCTGTTGAGATTTGTTAAACAAAACAAGTCATGAAAACTATAGTTAAAACTGAAGCAGATTATTAGTCTCATGCTCCTAACATCAAATTTTACTCAAAGGGTTTTATATACTTAAGTTCAAAAACACTCGAGGACAATGTGTTTTTAGAGGATTTGAAAGATTTACTATGGGAAATTGCTAAATTTTTGAAATTGGAATTTTGCTGATTAAGGTAAAGAAATTTTTGAGTTTCTAACTTTCTTTAATATAAAGAGAAAAAATTTTACTTTCAATTATATTTATATTAATTTAAGAAATACTTGTTTTAGGAAAGCTTGAAAATTATTGAGAATAAAATTGATGTATCGATGAGATTTACCCTAAAACCTTGAAAACAAATTTGCAGGAGATAGTTTAAACTGCTAATTTAATAAGCCTGTTATAATATGTCTCTGAAAGACCAAAAAATTATTGGACTATTAGTTTCACTTTGTAATTTCTTATTCTCAGCATATTTAAAAAAAAATGGTTTTCTTAACTCAGCAATTGATTAGTTTTTTGTTATAGGAATTGTTTTTCCCTTTGGATGAGAGCATTCAAGTTGTCTTTCTTCACTTTAGAAAAGACTCTGATAAAGTAGCCTCCACAAGATTAATTAGTAATTTTGATATGTATGCAACTGGTGAAAAGGTTATAAAGTGGAGAGAATACATGATTAGTAATAGAAAGAAGAAATGAGGTAACTGGACATTTTTCTAACTGGGGGAAATGTGAGTAGTGTAGTCCCTCAGGAGTCTGTTCTGAAGCATTTGTTCTCTTTCATTAATGTCAATAATTTGAAGATCTTCTTGGATGATAAAATTTCCATATTTGCTGGTACTATTACTAAAATGCTAAAAAGAACTGCTTTTATTGAGAATGTTCTTCTTATCCAAAAGAATCATAAAGTTAATGAGCCAAAATGTGGAAAATTAGTTTTATTAATGAGAAATGTAATATTTTGTATTAAGGGTATGAAAGTATTGGAAGAATTTACTTATTGTGTGAGAAAAAGCTTTGGATTTGTGGTAAAATAGAAGAAATTATTAGCCGTGACTGCTGTTAAAACCTAACCTCATCTCTTGAGTGTTATTGTAACCTGGTATGAGATTCTGAGTAGACATATAAAGTATTGACATGTGAAGTACTGCTCCCTTTTTAGGATGGGCATAAACTTTTTCAAAAATGTCTAAATGACTAGAAATAGGCTACTAAAAGGATTTTTAGTTTAGATCATTTAAAAAATGAGGAAAAATGTATAATTTCAGACTTGCTTTCTCAGAAGCATGAAAAAAAAGTAAGGGGACTTAATTCAGATGTCCAGTTATCAGAGATTTGGACGGTCTTTCTAAGAATGTTTGAATAGTGGAATGAAATAAAGTAAGAAAGATATTTTTGAATGTTAAGAGTAACAAGTTTAGAAACCTAGATGTAGGCTTGTTCTTCATCAGTTTTTTACATCTGCAGAATAATTTTACGAATGATCTAGCATGTATTTTTAATTTAAATGTTTTCCAAACTTTTGCTGGATAGAAGTAAAATTCTAAAAGGACATATATAATTTGGATTCATTCTTTGCTGTTGTTTTTGAGTGAGAGATGACCATGGTAGGCCAAATGGCTTTTTATAAAACTTGTTTGGCACCACTGACACATATTGTGTAACAAAAGCTTTATAAATGCATTATTTTATAACTGAAGGGGCAATTCAGTTTCAGGAAAGGCTTTTCTCAGATATAATGCAAAATCAATATTTGAAATAATTACATGTCAATATAAAAAAACAGCAGTCTAATGGGTGAGAATGAATGTTAAAAATATTCAATGTGGTGAAAGTTTTACTAACATAAAACATACAACATTTGTTTATGGAAAAATTTTGCTTGCATGTTTCTTAAAGCAAAATGCTACAACAGTTCATAAATTATTGTGGTTTCTGAAGAAAGCTTGCTTGCTTAATGCTTTTATACAGAAGTAGTTCTTTATTTATCATATAATTCTTTCATTAAAGTATGCAATTTTAATGACTGATCTGTATTCTTGACCAAAATGATCTTTGGTTTTCTCTTGGTTTCTATTTGTTGTTTACAAAAAAGCAACGATATAAATTATATGGTCATAAAATGAAAATCTAAGCTTCCATCAACATGTAATGCTTCTTCAATAACACTAATACATAATATTAGGTCATCAAGAAATAAATGTTTGCATTTTAGAACACTTTCATTAACCACCTCCCAAAAAACATACATCAGGCATAATAGTTAAACGAACCACCTAAACTTCACGTTATTGTAGCCTATATAATATGTAAAGTTTAGTATACTCTA